ACAAAGAGATGCAAATGTAAAGCTGCTGGAATTTTATACAACACTAAATGCCATAATGGTAATAATTGTAAAAATAAATAGAATTTTAAGACATTAATAGAATAAAAATTATTTTTTAATTTTAATTAATAAAATATTATCCATTTTGTATATTAATATTAAATAAAATTATATAATTATATAATATTCATTGTTCATTATAATATATATTATGTTATGGTCAACTCAAGTTAAACATAATTGTTCACTTGGCATCTGTAGAACTGGCCGTTGTATACAATGTCTGATTTATGTGAATAATTATCTACTTGGCTTGAATAACTCGGACATTGTAAACTTTGTCCGACCAGTGTTTACAATGACCATTTATCCACCTGGACCGTAACATATATATATAAAATAGTTATATAATTATCACATCCGACATAATTATCTAAGTAAGGTAGGTCTTGAGAAATTTTTAGCTTTTCCTGAACTTCTTGGAAAAAAAAATAGGAATTCGGTAAAATTATTTCATTTTTCTCTGTGAAATAATATTTGCCTTAAATGGAACGTAAATTGTGTTTATGAAGGACGACTGTAAAGAAAAAATAAGCAATACACGTATAACGTTAAGGTCCCTCAATACAAGTAACATTAATAGTCCAATACTAAGACCGTTATTATAGCCCATGAATGGTAACAGTTGTATGGCAGGAGTACAGGTTTACAATGACCATTTATCCACCTGGACCGTAACATATATATATAAAATAGTTATATAATTATCACATCCGACATAATTAAGTACAGATACCTACTTAATATTTGATATAAATCCACAATTAAGGATTCTTACCTTTAATAAATAAACACAGATACTATGTTGGTTCCAATTTTAGTTTAGATGCATTAGAATTTTTAATTAATATGATTAACAATTGACAATAAAAAAGGCGGTTCTCATTTGAAAACAAGAAGTCTGTATTACCATAAAACTCAATCTACGTTTATCTAAAAATGTGGTCTCTAAGTAAATTTTAAGTATATAACCTTTCTAATGTTGACTGTTGTATTAACCTAGTTGGTAGATACTAAAAAATTTAAAGAACCAGAATTTTAACAAATGCATTAATTAATAAAAAAATATACGAGCAGGTATAGGTAAGGATGGCGCTTTGACGACTTATCCTGTATATTTAATGATCTTTGGTTTATTCGATATTTATGATTTTTCTTAAAAACTTCGCAATAATGTATGGAAACACTTGTGGTAATTGCTGCAGTCATTGTGATCATGAGATAGGGTACTTAATATAATACGCGTAAGCCGTCATAAAAATACACATTACATTATAATAATAAATTAAAGCCAACGTTCAAGATAGTAACAATAATAATAACGCCACTGAGATGTTGTGAGTTAATAAAATTATGTTTACCGTGTTCTATTTTTGGACGAAACCAGTCGTATATTGTGCGATTTTTGCGACACGCAGCGTCCCGTTGAACGCTAATGCGCAAATATCATAATGAGTAGTGACCACCACCGCCCAACGGCCCAATCAGTGGCATGCTCGAGTAATATTATAATAGCATATAATTTTTGACGGACACCTGAGGTTATTTATACATAATTTTGTTCTGTACAAAAAGACCCCTGGCACTGCAGTGGCTCAGTGGCGCACGGCCACTGTAGGGACTTCAATGTGTATAATGTATGTATATACATAGGAGCAACATCAAACGAATACCCATCGATATCTTTAAGCAAGAACGAGCCGATGGATGAACCGTGAGTGGGTGGCAAATTTGAATAAAGGTATACAAAATCATGCTTTGCAAGATATATTTATTTTTTTATCTTCAGTACCTACCTTTATATTGTTATAATACACTCGTTTCCCCAAATTCTAGCCATTTTTGATTCGAGTCACTGAGTGTTCGTACGTAGGTAATAATGGGTATACTCGAGTAATCTTAATTCGAATCAGACGCGGATGCAAGCTTGTAGGCATGGAAGTAATGCCCACCCCCTCCCACTCACCACACAAAAGAATAGTGCAAATGATTATAATATAATATTTTATTTAAAGTTTAACAAAATAATAACAAAACTTCAAAAGAAAAACATTACATTATTTTTTATTATATATTTCTTTATACAGTCGACTCTCGGTAAATGAAACCTTAATAAATTTAAATTCTCGACATCTCGAATAAATAATATTCCCTTTCAAAATTAACATTCAATGTTTAAATAATCTTATTAACTCGAAAACGAATTGGACCAATTTTCGGAGTCTCGAATTTTCTTATCCAAATTTAAAACATGTGCATATTATATAGAACAACGAGAAATCCAATAAATATTACATATACTTATGATTACGAGTTATAGCTTAATTCGTAAAACCCATTCATTATAATCGATTGGCGATAACTCGAACCTTAAGAACTCCATAGACTATATTCTATAATCTATAGCATACATTTTTTTAATATAAACTACATGTATATTTTTACAAGATTTTGATAATTCAAAATTTTTAGTAAATCGATTTTTTTATTTTTCTGTGAACTTAGAATTACTGAGTTGAAAGGCAGTATTAGGTATATAAGTATATTATGTCTAAATATAAACTTATATTGATATTTGACCCCCCTCCCCAATTAGGCATTCTAAATCCGCACTTGTTTTAAGTCAGTTCAAAGTTAAAAAATGTATACTCATCTCTATTTTATCTCTTCTATTAAAGTATTATTAAATGCAACTTACAAATTCGTTATGAGTGCGCCACAGTTTTAATGAACAGCAACAGTTGCATAAATTGGGCTGAACAAATATTGACTATGGTACATGCAACATGCACCACCGCATTAGATATCTAATAGTTTAAAATTATCGATCTATAGTGAATTGTAAATAGCATAGATTTTCTTGAATTACATTAACGTCATTAACTTAAAAATTAAACATCAGATTTTTTATTTTTTAATAATATTTAATTCATAATATGTACCTACTTATGTATTACAAAACCTAAAAATAGAATTTTTAGATAAAATATAAAATAATTTTCTTATTTCATGAATCATGATTTTTGAAGAGATTATTTATATTAGAAAAAGAAAGTTATTGTATCATTCCATAGCACAGGCGCACAGCTACAATTCAAGTGATATTTACGCCAAAACAGTTTTATAGATTATTACAACACATTATTTTTTGGTATAGATACCTACCTTAAATGCATAGGTACTCCATTATTTATTAATAAATAGTTTTTGTTATTAGTTTTGATATTGTAAAAGTTATTTTCATGACCGATTTCAGTAGATAAGTTAAGAGAACATATTCTTACAAATGTGGGTTATAGGTGGGTGAGTGGGTGGGTGGGTGGGTGGGTGGATGGGTTTGGGTAAAAATAAATATATCTCGAGTATCGCTGCTCCGTATTTGAAAATGGTCCGGACACTCTATTACAGTAAGGCACATATGCGTCATTACAACTTAACCCACAATTTAAAGTATCATCATAATTCATAATACAATGTAGTTTCTAATCTCTATATATAACTATAACCATAATAGTTTTCACATTTTAATATTATGATGTAAACGCTTTATCGACTACCCACTTAAGATTATTCTTTTAATTTATTATTTATCACAAATAAATTATAGTATAGTATGTCAAATTTCCAATAGCCAATATAATATGTCAACATAAAACTAAATATAATGTATATTGTAATATATTTTATACTATGTATAATGAGTTATACTAACGTATGTATTATGTATATACAAAATAAAAATTATAGACACCAAATCATGTGTACCTATCTTTAATATATATATAAACACAGACTTGATGTTTGACGTGGTTTCGCTGATCCATTTTCATCGCAAAGTGCCTAATCCACAGTACGATTCCTGATTCAAATAATAAAATGTCTTCCATCACTCCACTGGATCTATATACAATCAATAAATTTGTGTTTCGGGAAAGGTTTTCTTTCAGTAAATCACACAACTATAAGATGTGCAGCAACAATTTGTGCTCTTAGTCTATACAAAGTATTAGAAATTAGAATATATCTAAAAAAAATTGTATTTTCAAAATACACACACGACATTCAATAAAACTGCTGCTCTTTAAATCGCCAAGAAACAAGAAAATTATTTACCCAAGAAATTCACACTTTTTTTCTAACTCATTATCCTGCAACGGTAAACTTTTATGTCACAAATGTACCTGTTGTTTTTATACACAATCATAGATTTTGTTAAACACACCAGGTATATATTTCATCTATGAATACTTCCTAGAAAATGTACAACTACACAATTTGTTATAATTGAACAATTATAATATTTTGTTATTCATTACTGCATACTTATTTGTTTCACATCTTTTTTCTTTAATTATTCTCAATTTTTTTTAGTTTAATAATTAATTGTATTATTACATCAATAATGATGAATTAGCACAGGTCGTTTAAAACATTAATAATATATTTTAAGGAGTTCAATCACTACAATCATTGGTAACAACTAATAAGTAACAGCTCACTAATCAATTTCAATTAAATGACTTTTATTTTCTGTAACTAATTTGTATACGTATACAAAATTTACACATAATACATATAACATAATATTAACTAGGTATAAATTAATATCTCACTAATATGCATCTATTTATTATTTTCATACATATGTTAAGAAATTATAAGTACTTATTAAGATTAGAAACAATTGGTTTATCTTAAGATACTAATTAGCAAAGACGTTTGACAAAACAGTCATGAGCAGATTGGGTATGTAAGATTAAGCAAAATATAATATAAAAGAAATTTAATAATGGTTTAAAAAAGTGAAAAATGAATAATAATAAGTATCAAATAATAACATTAAAGTACAAAAAATACAATACTTGCATTTTATAATATATATTCAATTGGAAGACTATATTCTTTTTTATTATTTATAAATATATATTATTATACCTTGCTAAACTTTGGCAATATTTTACATTTAAGTACATACTTATATATTAAACAGGCCAAAATAGAATTGATTATGGCATATTTTTTTTAAATTTTGTTTACAGTGATTGATTGCCACATAACAGTATTATAAATTAAAAAAGGTTAATAACTTTTTCAAAATTAATGATAAGGCCTGTAGAATTTAAATTCTTGTAATATTCGGTTGACAGAGTACAATAATTCTTTAATTAAAATAAACTCTACTGATTATTAGTAAACATACATATAAAGGGTCCCCATTACATTTTGGTACTGCAAAATATTTAATATGCAACTAAAAATGTGAAAATTCACATGAATAAAAGTACTTTAGAACAGTTGGTCATGGTGGAAATTGAAATTAAAATATAAAAATGAAAATATTTAATTATTTGTCTTTTCGTCAAAATTATATGACCAGTTTCTAAGTCCGTCTAATATTTTAATCATCAATGGATTACCACCAAGATTTTCCACTTCTTTACGAGCGTCACTATCCAATTGTGTCAATACTTTCCTTGTATGTTCAAATGAACCATAATTATCCAACAACTTTACACAATACTTTTTCACATCAACATTTCTTGTTCGCTGTCGCAAAATATCTAATAGTTTTATGGTTAAGTACAACATTACAGTAATAGTAGTTTTGTATTTCATGTTAAGTAAAAAAATTAAAAATTGGAAGAATGACAATACATATATTAAAAAAAATAATATTATGATTAGTCTTAATTGTATAAAAAGGATACGAATCACTTGTTTGTCTTCAGGGCGAGTATGGATTGCATGTATAATAGGGAAACTGAATTTCCCTTCTGTTAAATCTTCACAATAACTCTTATTTTCAGAATACTAAAAAATATTTATGTCTTGATTAATTTATAAAACAATGATAATGATATTTTAATATTAGTATAATTTACTCTAAAAATAATTTTCCAAATGTATATTTTAAAGTCATGGTACACTGTTAACTATTTTTATTTAAACATTAAGAATACATTAATTTTAAGCTTTATGTTTGTAAGAACTATGAACTTAAAGAAAATGTTGAAAACTATAATGCTATAACTAAATATAATGCTAACTATAAAACTATATAATGTTATATACAGCAGGGCACCGCGGAAAAAAAAGTTTAGGAACCGCTGAATTAAATAAACAACTTATGATTCGTGTTTCTCAAGTACATAATAATCAATATAAATCAGAAATAGCATTTTCATAATAAGATTTTAAAAATGAATTATTTTTAATTATTACTGAGTATATCAGTGCATTATGCCATTTTTTCAGTCAAATATTTTTAATTATACACAAAAACAAAACACATTAAATCAATAAAATTGATCAACTTATTATAATAAACATGCAATATTTCTTACTTCTTGCAAACACAAGTTACAATAATCATCTCGAATCTGAAAATACAATCCTAATATTCCAGTAAGTTTGGTGAAGTCGCTAGTATTGTCACTGAATAATTGCATAAGTCTGATAGCAAGCATAAATAAACCACCAGTCTCTTAAACATAAAATATACAATAATATAAGAATACATTTTTATAAGTACCTATAATATTAATATGATATATTTGACATGTTTTAAGCATATCTTTTTTAAATATCTAAGCTCAGTTAACTTTAAATGTCAATTAAGAAAATATGTATACCAAAATACCAACACATATTATAAAATAATTAATATACAAATTTAATTACTTCTAATTGTCATTTTTTTGTATTCATCTTCAGTCGGACATGTATAATTATCTCTCCAATAAATTTCCATTCCTTGACCTCGGTGAAGTTCTAACACTTGTTCAGTGTATACAGTGGTAGCCTAAAATTAAATTAATACAATTTATAAACTATTACTATCTATTCTAAAGTCAATAATATGAATAACATGTACCATTGGATGTCCTAAGCTCAGAGTTCGTTCTAATGCAACAAATGACATATAATTTGCAGCATTGATTGTACTAGCAACACCATAGATTGAATGTGCTACAGGTATTCCACGTCTTAAGACTGAATTATCTTGAATATCATCAGTTCTAAAATACCAAACATAAATAAATATTAATTATGTTTAATAACTAATAATTATCATAACTTATTAATAATGTTAATGTACTTAAGTATTTCATCAACTCGAAATACAGAAAATTAAGGAATAAAAAAAAAACAAAATGAATAGTAAATAAGATTAATTTTGATGCACATATTTTTAATAATGTTTCAATGATTCAATTAAGAATTGAATAAAAAAATTCCTGTTATAATTTCATGTCTGTTTCAAATTCTTCAGTCATAATAACTAGTAAATAAAAATTAATTATAAATGTAAGTAGCATTAAGATATTTAAAATATATTTACCTATAGCTTAACAGAAAATTTTCTCTTAATATTCATTTAACTATGATAAATTAATAACTATAATTATATAACTTTAAATAAGACCAAATTATATTCTTTGGTCAAGATAATTAATAAGTTACACTGATTCATATTATTATAACAATTTATTACATAATAGACAATCTATATAATTATACAAAAAAATTTATCGAGTCAATTAAAAAAGTTGTACAACATTTTATGTTATCTAAACATTAATTTATAGAAGTCATGATTTATTTTAAAATATATACCTGAGTAATAATTAATAAATAATAATTATTTGTAAATACTCTTATATAAGATACACATATGCATAATTTATTAAAAAATGTATAAAAGAATATTTATCCGTAACAAGTTCAATGATTAATTATACTATTATACATAAATACAGTATCATATGCAATTAGTTCATTTTTCACTAATTAACAATTTTATTATATTACTTTAAAACTTCATACATTTAAAACTTATTTAATTCATATATTTTAAATTGTAATAAATGGCACGTTATTAAAACATATTTTAATTTTTAACTTAAAATTATACAACAAAATACACAATCATTTGCCTTAGTTTTGATTTTTAGATACCTAATAAACTTAATAATAACACAATAGAGAATTTTATTCACCCATACAAATTTATATTATTTTTAATCACAGTTTTAAACAAAATTTTTCTTCTTAATAAGTGTATACTTACAAGAGACTAGAATTATGCAACATCTGCACTATGTCTCCAATAACAGCCAATTTGTCTGATGGTATTTTCAACCAATAATTAAATGCATGAGCGAGTTTAGCTCTGATTTGTTTGCCAGGCACTTGCATAATATAAGTGAAGGGCTGCAAGAGTTTCTAAAAAAAATTTTAATTAAATCAAAATTGAGACACATAAAATTTAACTTAAAAATTAAAACCTTGTGATTAACATACATTACATTACACACACATACAATTTTATTGTTATAAATCAATTAAATTATACTAAACTTTAGAATCCCAAGTATATAAAACAATATAATAATTAAAATAAATGCATAATTTTTTTTTTTTTTTTTAATGATTTATTAATATATTATTTAAATGTGTATATGTATTATAGTTATTGCAATTTAAAAAAAAATGTAAAGCTAAATTTAAAATCGATTATTAACACAGTTTCTGTAGCCCACACAACACAATGTTTTTTTGTCGTGTTTTTTATTTTATCAACTATAAGAGAGAGTTTATTAGCGTAATCAACCTCATAAATAATATGCAATTACATCAAGTTATAGTTTAAACTTTAAACACGTCCCAATTAAATCTTTAGAAATTGAGCAATTAAGAGTTTGCATAATTACAATTAGGAGTTTGGCGACAAATGCTGGATTCTTAAATGTTTTCTGCTATGAATAAAAATGCGATAACACATATTGTAGCTACTCTAATATAATATTTAAAAAAATATATAAATATAAAAATGTATTTACAATAAATATTGAATCCCACAAATTATAATACGAAATATATTGCGTACAAAACGAGATGAAACGAAGAATATAGCTTCGGTCTTAATAATTAACCTTTTTATGGCAAGAACTAAGAGCAGATCAGCCATATCTTATTTATACAAATATAATTTGTTTGATTAAAGTATTGTAAAATCGGATTTAATTTATAGTAGGTAGAGGCAAAAGTAAACGTAAGTATATATAATTAAATTGATATTCAACTTTGTTTATTAAATGAAATAATTAATAATTTAATAAGTACTACGAAATATTAGTTTCATTTTAATTTATTGAAGTCATTAATACAACGAAAATCATAATGGATACAAATAGTTTGCATACTAAATATTAATATAATATAATACTTAAATGAAGAAAAGATGACTATATTTATTAACTAAAACTATTTTATATAAATTATTATATATTTTCTACGAACTTAGGTAATAGGTTAATAGAAATAAAAATATATGATAATGATAGCAGTATTTTTTTTAGATAAAAAAACATAATTGATGTATTAAGTTCATTATATATATATATATATATATTAGATAGTTTAAACAATTGTTTAAGTCTGATAAATAATTTGAACAAGAACTCAGGAAAAACATCAACCGATAAACCTATTCTCTTTACATTTCATGAAAATTAGAAAAACGTGAAAATTACCAATGATCAAAGCCGCCCGCAGAAATTTTTCTCAGGGGGGCCAGCGAAAAATAATACACTTACCATAAATTCTGTTTTTTATATTACATAGTAAAAAAATTATTTATTTATTTTAATATTGCAAGTGTCACCTTATCAGTTATCAGTCTTCCTTATTGCCCTCCAAAACGCTATATAAAATGCAATAAAGATTAAGTAATATCTTAATTATCGAGGGGGGCAATGATATATTAAAGGTGTATATATAATATACATATAGTACAAAAATTATTAACAACAAACTATTTTTTTTTAAGAATTTCTATATATGTTCTACAAATTAACGTTCAAATTCCAACAATGAATCAAAAACTGTATAGGTTTCTTAATGTTAACATGTCCAATCTATCATGAAACAAATTATCAAGAAACACATTTTATATATAAAAATAATAAAGATAATGATAAATACTTAAATTAACAAACTATATTTTATAAAATATTTGTATTTCGACAAAAATAAGGCTTAAATATTTACGAATTTTGCATGTTTTTTCTTTAACATATTTCAGACCAAATTAAAAATCAAACCACTAACGCATAGAATCAATTACATAATCGAATTTTATTTTTCATATTTTTAGCTATAAATGAATTTTTTTACAAATTAGGACAGTATTAGAAATACGTTTTTGTATTACTAGATTTACCACGAATAGGTGCTTTTTAGGAATACACAAATTTATAAAATTGGACATTATCAATGGTGGATCTTGAATTGATTATTAACTAATATAAATTGTTATGGTAAATTTGAGATAGTTGTTACTATCTCTGCTGTTCATAGGGTGTCGAGCGGCTCACTATTATGAGGTGTGTTAAATTTGTATTCAATGATACATCATTGTGCACGACAAAAAAAGATTCTAAGCAGAGACAATCTGTTAGTCTATATCACTAAGTATATTTTGTGATATGATTTTATCATTTTTTGGTATACATATATTAAAGTAATTTATCTTAATTTTAATATTATACCTAGAAGGTTGATAATTTTTTCCAAAAATATTGCACTTGTTATGTTATAATTTATAAGTATTTAATTATTATAATAATATAAATGTATGCTATATTATATTATATCAACTACTATAAACACTAAATTATATAACATATTTCTATAAATACCGTAAAATAGTAATAATAAATTCATAGTATAAAATAAAGAACATCTTAAAATAAATCAAAAACGTCACTGTGATCAATTAATAAATTTATAATAATATAATATACGTACAATTTTAAGTTCCCATAAATAATATTTTTAAATTATAACGAAATATTTAACATCATCATTTATACCGTTAAAATAATTAATTTCGTTCGAATTGAACGTAAAATGTCAACAAAAAAATAATTGTCTAAAAATAATTCCTGATAAGCTATTTATGAGAAAATTTTTATTAAATTTTCAAAACTAAAATATGAAACAAAAACTTTTTAAGAATTTTTAATTACAAAAAACCTATAGGACTGGCTAGTGTCTATTTTTTGCGATTTTGAATATTGTTGTTAAAATTATAACTTCAAATGTATATAAAAAAATTATATACCTATGTATTTTTAATATTTTTATATAGATAAAAGAATAGCTTTCGAAAATGTTAACCCATTTACAATATTATCTATTTATTATATTTATAAAAAAAATTGAAAATTGTCATACCTATAAACAACTAAAAAATTTAATCATATAATGAAAATGTAAGCTTTTGGTGAAAATTTTTAGTATCTATTGAATTTATTTATGGTTATTCATTTTTAAGTAACACTAAAAATACAAAATCGATTTTGTCAAAAATTAAATTTATGTAAAATTTCTAGGTTTTCCTTTTTTTCCGTTATAAAAAAAAAAAAATTATAGTGAATTTCTTACTTTTTACCATCTCCCCTACTCCTCAAAAAAAGTAGTAACGAAATCCAATTTTTTACTATAAATCACCCCCATTTTTCCAAAACATTTATACTCTCCTAAAAGAGACAGACAGAAAATGTACCACACATCATAGTAAAATAAAAATATTTGTTGCTCTGTATAGAATCTAAAACATAGCACGTTACTTGATTTTTTTTCTCGTCAAAAAAAATCTATGAACCATAAATATGATCCAGCCCAAAAACATATTTATGTTAAAATATGCTTATATTTTTTAATAATTCATTTTAGTTTTTTAGGATTGCAATATTTTTACTACCTATATCATTGAAATATTATATGCTAAGAATCTTTTAAAAGTATAAATAATGTAACTAAATTGATAAAAAAAATATTTTAAGGAACTATGTTCATTTAGGATATTTTTTTTTTTTGCCAATATCTCTAAGTATGTTCGTAATTTAGGAAGGGAGAACGAGCATTAGGAGCAAAGCTATTAAAACATTTAAGAACAATACTGTCAATATTATTTTTTATTTGTAAGTAATAATTGCTATACGATCTTTAAACCTTTGAAAATTTGACCCTATAGTTGGCGTATTAAAGACTTATTTATTTAAAAAACATAATATATGAATGACGTTTACAATTTCCTTTTGGAATTATAATCAAAACAAAATCTAAAGTTTGAAAATTGTAAGTAGTTTAGAATAACTTACATAAGTACTATATTTCAAAAAACAATCATAAATATAAAAAACAGCCACAGCGGCTGCTTAAATTTCACTAAGTTATGTATATAATTTACAAATAAAAGCCGGCCAATATAATGTTTAGGCTTATCGCGTTATTATATATGTCTTACATAACCAATTGCCTATCAACACTATATTATACCTCATATGTTATAAAGGTTGATTTTTCTCTTTTAATAATAGTAATACTTATTAATTTTACAAATGCCGTATAATAGCTGATATTCGTCTAAACCAGTGCCCAGTGGTAATTATGTAAATTCACTTAACAGTACGTTCTGTACACTGAACAAAACCAAATCTAGTACTGCCCTTCACCACCTGGCACCTCTGAATATGTATTATACAGCTATTAATCAATAAAACGGACCAGAAAGTTATCTGGTACATATAGAATATATAATATATATATGTAAATATTGTTATTAATATTTTCCTATTAAATATTTTAGTAAATTTTAACGGGATGAATTGATTAAATAATTGTTACTCTTTTTTGATTTTGTATCGACTACAAACATTGAAAACAATAACTTTTTTTAATTAGTATAATATATACATTATAGATAATTAAAATGCAGTATTTAATTTTATATTAACAATATGTTTATTTTTAATTACTGTATTACTATATTATGTAGGGTACGTAGGTATTCGACGTTGTCGAGGAAGATTTTTCGTTGTTATGCAATAGTTCTCAATGCCAGATATCTTACATATTTAAATGTATTTTTCAAGGTAAACATCCCGATGCATTGTAACATACCTACTATAAAAACTCCGCACATTTAATTGGTTATAATTAATAATCAAATACAAATAAATACCTTGGTATTAATTATATAATATGAAATTGTTTGAATTTCTACGTGAGGTATTAATAATTGATTTATACAAAAACCCGTGTAATACCTAGTATACCTAGAGTCAGTGTCGTAACTAGAATTTTTGAATGGGGGGGGGGGGGGATTTAGGTATATATCAGAGATGATATAGCAAAAATAAAAAAGGTCGTTCAAAATATGTTAACTGAATAATAAAATGAAAATCAATGGGGGTTTGAGCCCCCTAACCCTCCCTACAGCTACGGCTTTGCCTAGAGTTTGTTTTATAATTTATTCGTGCATTTTAAGAAGAAACATTATACAACTTATTAAGCATCAATATTTAAAAAAACGAAAATGAATTAAATATTTCGAAAAAAATTTTTTTTTTAATTACGAATATATTTTATAAGCATAAATTAACAATAATTTAGATAACTTTAAAAAATATAATGCTAAATTCCTCTACTGAGTTATAATTTAAATAATTGACCATGAGTATAATATCTATGATCAAATTCACGTAGTGTTAAATACCTACGTTTATAAATATAAAGTTTAAATAAATATTATTTATTTTAAAATGTTTTTATTATTTTAATATTTTCCAGTTAGTGCGTATTTGTAAAATGAAAAATGATTAGTAACAACTTTCCAAAATTTCTATGACCAGACATGAGTCGCAACGATCGTTCAAATAATTCAACGAAAATCTCAATGAACAAATTACAAAGACAATTTGAACACTCATATTAAATATGTTTATAACGTATCGTCGACAGGCGATGGAAATAAAAAATAATAATAGAATAATTTAAATAATTTATACGAAAAAATTATATTTGATATAATATGCAACTCGGTCCAGTCGTTCAACAACACAACAGTCGACAAAAATCATAAACAAGCAACGATGGACAGATATTAATGCGATAGGTATGCATAAAATGTTTAAACTCACTTCATCAGTCTCTTTTTCTCCGGACGTACTAAACATATTTTCCATCCTAAGATATATTGTGCAATTCACTGATGAGACGAGAATAAAAGACTAGAGTTGAATGTTGAACAATAGCGTCGGGTGGTTTGAACTTATAATAATTATGAAATGTATATAGTTACTACATAGTTATTACTGATTACTGTTGAACGCTAAAATCCATCAATCGATAGCGGTTATCTCCCGTGCGTCCGATAAGAATAAAAAATGTATAATATGGAAACGAATAGCACCGACGATGTCCTCATGGAATAATTCGTAAGTGCTGATAACGAGCACGTGTAACTATGTAAGTTATCATGAATTCGTGAAGTTAATAATTACAGCTACGAAGTACGAGTGCTACGCTACGACTGTAGTACTGTACAAGTGTAAACTGTGAAGTCGTTCTTGGTCGTTTACATCCTACAGGTTTTGGAATTTTGGACGTTTCGATTCACTTTGTATACTGAATACTCATATGTAGTGCATTTGTACTTGTTGTTTCGTTGATTAATTTAATCTGGACGATTATTATTCCTATGCCCTTACATTGTTGGTCTCAGCCTGTCTCTAGTGTGCACATTTCAATGGTGTTTTGAATAGGTATTTAGATTTTACACAGACAGACGATACTAGTATATTATTTAAAAACGTCATCGACCATGGGTTCAGAGATACCACATCATCTAACACTTGTTATGGTTCACTCGTTGACGATAGATGGTGGCGATCCGAAATTTAAAAATGACATTCTACAACATTTACTAGGTATGTGTGGTTTCCTTAAGGTTTTTGACAAAAATCGATCTAAGAGTTTTAATTAATTTCTCTTCTAGTAATGACAGCTGATAAACACAAAGAAAACAAAGTGATCAATGATAATATTGATGAATTACTGAAAGGTCTATTCAACATTCTGGACACTGATATCACCAATGCCAAAGCGGCATGTTTGTGTTTGGTCAATATTTCGTCAAAAGAAAATGGTCTGAATAAAATAATGTCCTTTTTAAATAGTAACATCAATTCAAATAACTCGGTATATTTTGGTTCAAAAAAAAACTTGTTTATAGATTTTAATTTGAATGTATTATTAGGGAATCATATCAAAAATAATAAGATATATTGACCAAAAAACACCCGAGATTGCAAATGCAGTACTGATGCTGTTATGCAATCTGACCCGTGACAAAAATCATGCCATTCAAGTGTATGAAGCATTCGGAGATCAAATCACAATATTAGAATCATTTATGAAGTTATTCGTCACTCGAGATATAGAACATGAAACAAATTATGATTATATTTCATATTTATTATCCAATTTATGTCAGTTACATGAAGTAAGAATGTAAGTAGGTATCTGGTGTTAAATAAATGTATTCAAATTATATTTTTTATTAACTTGTTTATAGGTGGTTAATGAATAGTGATAATTTTCAAAAATTACTTCCATTTTTAAACTTGAATAATTCGCTTCGAAGAGCTGGTGTCATCATGACTTTAAAAAACTGTTGCTTTGAATTAGGTAACTTCTTATTAATTAATTGTATGTTATATTATGTTATTCAACTTAAATAATTTATCTTGTATTTGCTTAGATAAGCATGAATGGTTATTAAGTGAAGATCTAGATTTGCTACCTCGTCTTCTTTTACCATTAGCTGGCCCTGAGCAGTTTGATGAAGAAGATAATGAAAAACTACCATTGGATTTACAATATCTACCCGATGATAAAGAACGTGAACCAGATTCAGATTTACGCTTAGCACTCTTACAAGCTTTGACTCAGGTTAATTATTACAATAAACAAATGTGAAACCATAAGAAACTTAAATATTTAACTGGTTATTGACATAATTATGTTTAAAGTTGAGTGCTAAAAGAAATTGCCGAGAAATAATCAGAAATCAAGGAACCTATCTCATTTTAAGGGAATTACACAAATGGGAACCTAATATGGAACTGAAATTAGTATGTGAAAATCTAGTGGACATTTTAATCAAGTCAGTATTTTTAATTGCTTGTTCTCTTAAATCTAATAGACAACCATTTAATCATTTAGTATTATAACAAGCTATCTCTTGTTTGTTATTAGCAAGGTTTGGATTTGAAGGCAATATAATCAATAAAAAAATCATTTAAAATGTGAAAAAGGCATTTAGTTTATATAAAAAGCAATTGAGAAACATACTACAAAATTTAATATACTAACTAGTATTAAAAAAAAAATTCACTACCATATACTTAGATTAGCTATTTTCAGTAAAACGTTGACGGTTTGGGCTCAAAATATTTTTGTACATAGAAAATTATCTTTCTATGTCCACCAAAGTTATTGGGGCATATTTTATCATAAATAATTATCTAAATTAAGTTTATTACTTATTAAATCGTCATCACTTGTTATTTCTCCATTCTAAATAATTTTAAACATAACATTGACAATGCACTGTCTTCACATCTCATCGATTTGTACTGTAGGCAAAAAAAAAAGCAAAAATTAATTTATAAGTTAAAAAAGCAAAAAAGACATAAGTAAAAAAAGCAAAAAAAAATACATTCACCGTCTTAGATATTAAACGAAACACATTTTTATATAAAAATTATTTTCTATTATAATTATTAAAAAAAGGCTTTTGCCTTCAAATCCAAACCCCAGTTATTAGTATTACATTAGACTTAATTTAAATTATAATCATTAAACTAGTGTGACTATCAAATAAACAACAATTAAAATAAATACATAACACTAATTCAATTTTACATATTATTCTTTATTAATAATTTTAAACATTTATTGAGTAAGGAATAAATTTAAATATGCTTTATTAATATAGGAATATAACATTGTACTTTTCAATAATTAAAAAATGAGAAAATAAGTTACTTTGAATTCAATAATAAAACGATTTTGTACAAAAAACCATTCTAAATAGAGATCTATTATTAGCCTATATAATTAAGTATATTTTTAATTATTTATTGATATAATATTTATTATTTATGTTGCTATTATAATAATGTATTTAACAATTTATTATTAATATGAGTGGTTGAATTAATTTTTCTAAAAAACTGCATTTAATGTATTATTAATTACTATAATAATATATATATTTATATCATGTTATATCTACTATTAACTTTTGAGTAGGGTTTACAATTTTTAATGGATATTAAAAGTACATGTGTACATAGATTTTGTTAACCATGTATTTGAAATTAAAAACCCGTGTATTCAAACATTTTAAACCCACGTTTTTACTCCTGTATTTTTTAATGTGTACAAGGATTTTTATGTATCAATCACGTGTTAATATAACTATAGGGATTTTGCTTTATTATGCGTGTATCTAGAAAATACAAAATTTAATCTATAATGTACAAAATATGTGTGATGAAGACGATTTAAATGATTTTTCATATGCCAGTGAAAGTATAGGATCATTTGGTCGACACTTAAAATGTATACATACTCATATTAGAATTTAAAACACATTATGTTGTTAGATTGTTATTTATTTAAAATTTAATTAAAATTAATTTATAGTTCTTACCAAATTTGTATTAATATATTATGCTTTTTAAAGTATCTGTGCTATTAATACATGTTTATTTCTAAATACCTGAAAATTTGTGTATTATTAAATACACAAGTTATTATATGTGTTTTATAATTACATGTGTATCTGTACATTAATCCATGTATTTAAGTACACATGAAAAATTAAGCACTACTTTTGAGTTATTTCCAATTTAAAGTTGAATGGTATGTTTAGATTTGTACTATAATTAGGCAATAACTTAACTTTAATCTAAATATTCATGAAAATGTTGATGTGTATAATAAGTAATAATATAGTCATTAATAAAAAGAATTACTACAAAATAATAAAATTTGTTAAGTAAATAATTTGGATACATTTTTAACTACAAAGCAATTTTAAAAAAATTCTGAATTTTCAAAATTTAAACCCTAAGTAATTTAATTGTGACTATGCATTTTTTATATTTTTTATTTTCTGAAAGACTAACTTATAAGAAACCTTACATTAAATTAATATTTACTTATTAATTTTTTTTTTTCTAGGACTGAAGATGAAATAGGAACTGATAATTTCCACGACTTAGATGTACCAGAAGATTTAATAGACAAATTTAAGAAAATGGATGAAGCTTATTTAAGTTAACATTAATTCCAACATAATTTCAATATTGTATGTTAATGTTTGTAATTTTTTGAATGGATGTGTTTGGTTGTATATGCAATAAATAACATAATATTTCTTATTTTATTTTTAAGTTATTCATTACATTAATAACAACATTTCACAATATTTTTTAATAATTAGATTCATAATTTAAATATATTAATTTCCAATTTTCTGTAATATAATAAAAAAAAAATTAACTTAACTGAGAAATTTTTAAAGAATGACAAAAAAATATTGTTTTTCAACCCTAAGCACATAAGTAACTATCAAAAGAAAATCAAACTATGGAGATTTTCATGGTTCAAATAAATATAGAGAAAACATAATATCACTAAATTCAGTGAGAAAAAAATGAAAAATCATTGAAAATAAATAAAACTTTATTCGTATAGTTTATTATCAATAGGTACATTGCTTACAAGTTTTTCTTGTTTATTAAAACATAATAACAATCTATAAAAGTTAAGTAATTTCGGTAACAAAGAATTTACTTAAACAGAATGAAAAATGAGTTAACACCTACTAGTCAATTGTGCAAGATAGAATTTAAAGTTCTTAGGGCAGTATATTTTTTAGTCATCTGATACACATAATATTTTGATTTATTACTTATCTCATTAGTTTTATTAAAAAATTCTGTGATGATAAATAGTTTTTCTTAACTTATCATTCCTCGACTAATACATTAAATACTTTAATATTTCTTTTCATTATTTATTTAATAATTAGATATCCCATGGGTTATATAGGTTAACATTTTTTTATAATTATCCAATAGATAGATGAAACTGAAATGAGATTTAGTTTAGTTAAGTCAGCAGTAAATCTATAATGTGGTTGCTTGTGTACATAGGAGGTATGATGGGTTGTAATAAAAAATAAAAAATTGATTCCTTATGGAAAATGATTCATCATCTAATCTTAAAAACCTAACACGGAAGGAAACAAAAGCTAATAAATCGAGAGTATCAAAAGTTCTATTTTCTATTAATAAGTTGGATGATAAATACGATAAGGCTACAAAGAAATGAAGAAAATTAAGTAGATAATGTTTAGTTCGTGATAAAGAAAAAAATACTTTGTCAGTTTGTACCTGTCAAGTGAAACATATAATATATATTACGGAAATAGATACTATGATTAAAGATAAAAGTAAATGTGTTATATAAAAATGTATAAGCTCTTAAAAAATATATGTGGAGTCACAACCAACTTTTTTTTTTTATTTCAGTAATAAGGACCTACAAGGAAACTTGTATAATTCTTAGTCTCAAACCAAGCAAAAAAATGTTATTGACATTTATAAAAAAAATTCAAATGTCTACAAATAGCTTGAAGTGTTTGAAAACTATAGCTAAAATTTACTAATTTTATCGTCTGATGAAAATTTCAAGTATTCGTTATTGAATTACACCACAACACATATACGATTTAACGTGATAATTCTCGCTTTTTCTTATTTTTATTTTGATATTTTTTCTTGGTTATTTTGTAAATGCCTATAATTCATACACTTTAAAACCCTCTAAATAACAATATTTTTACGACTCACCCGAGGTGTTGTATACCGATACAACACGATCTGTTATACTTATTACTTTACACTGAGTATAAAAAAAAAACGTCGGTTTCACAACAAATGTTCCTCGATACTAACGCGCCAGGTGGCGATTTTTACTGAGATCAGGGGTTCACAATACAAAATAAAAAAAACACGTATGTAATATTAAATTTCCCGCCGTGGTTAGATGATAGTTTAGGAAACCATAACAAAAAATCACCACCTGGCGCGTTAGTATCGAGGGACATTTGTTGTGAAACGGACTATATAATGCTACTATACTAGAGCCATTCAAAGAACGCTACTGGGCGGCGCCCAAAATTCGTCCGATTTCGCGCATTCCCACCACTATATAAACCCTCCCGAACGCTGGCCACCAACCCCGCTACCGACGCTATCACTATTATATAGCGAATGGGGGAATTTACGGCGGCAAAAGATGGTAGAGTGGGAGAAATTTGGGCACGAATCTGCGGAGCTCGCTCATTTGAATGCGCGAACGAGTAGCGTTCTTTGAGTAAGTATTCCTAGTCCTAAATCCTAATGGCTAGTATACATGGATCATGGATCGATGGATCAGCTAATGACTAATGACCAGCAGTGAGGATTGCGCGAGGCAGACTATCGCCTGCCTATTACTTGGCATTCAAATCTTTTGCTCTAGCGTGGTTGCAATTAGTTATACCAAAAAATAATTTAACAATAAAATTTATTACTGTGATGGCGCTAAATATTTGTACAACACCAACAGTTTTGGAACAAAATTTTTTTTTTTAGAATAGTTTTTATTTATTTATATTTTATTTTATAATATTATTGTGTACCGTACTATTGACAATTTTACAACTGTTATACGTAATGTTTAAGTCTACGCGGTTTACAGTATTTGAATGAAAAAATCCAACTTTTTGATAACACACGGTCTTGGCAACACTAACAACTCATCTCGCGCGTTGGTCGTTGTTATAGTAGTTGATAATAAAAGATATCTTTAACTATTAATCGTTATTATTCGATCACGTTGTTAATTAATCACTTTTAATTTATTGTTGTACGCTGATTTTCGTGACACCATTTTCACCTGCTCATGTACAGTGGACAAATTGCATTTACACGTCTTCTAAACGTCGCCGCCGACTATTCATCTACAGGAGATTTACTGAAACGCGTGACCCATCATTAACAGGCATCAAAATCTCGATTCCTAAGATGCAGACTGAAGGTGAAAGCTCGACAGCAAATGACCAAACAGAGACTGGCGCCAAAATGTCTAAAGGTCAGTTAGGTACACTTTATGTTACTCTAAACCAGGGAAATAATCCTACAATAAATCATGTTTTTTTCTCAGTAATTTTTTTTTTTTTGTTTATCTGCATTTACCTTGGCATTTTGTGAAACTTAAAGAGCACTGATTACAATCAAAACTCAAATAAATTTTTGCCTCACAATTAATAGTTTTACATTATCGAAAATTTTTGTTTCATGATAAGATACAATATACTACATAAGTGACTTATAACAACTAATATTTCTAATAGATATATTCTATCCTAAAATGTTTTAATTTCATATTTATGTTCTTAATTGATAATATTTTGTTTACTTATTTTCTTAACTTAATACCTAGTTATCGCTATTATTTTAAAAATCAACATCATGATGGTTTTATGACAAATATAATGTAACCATTGAAATCCAAAAACCTAACTTTGGATCTTATTAGTATCGTTTTAATATGTTCAGTAAATCTAAAATATAAATTTAACTGAAATATCTAAATATAAGTTTAGGTATTGAAATTTTATAAAGCAAATTATCATACAATATTATTATTTATTTCATAGATAAAAACAAACAGTCTGTAGAGTATGATGTGGAAAGTATAATTTTCCATGAAGTTATAAACGGTTCGTTGGTTTACCTTATAAAATGGACAGATTGTGGTATGGACGAATGTACATGGGAACCAGAAAAAAATTTGAAGCATTGCAAGAAAATATTGTCGGAGTACAAAACAACCAAACGTTTGTTATAATAAAAAAAAAAGAGGAACAACAATACACCATCCAATTAAAAGATTTACATTTTTTTTTTATTTTAAGACAGTTAAGAATCATGTACCTATTACATTATATCTACATTGATTTAAGGTTACTGCCAGTTGTATTATTTAACATAGTACTTTAAATAAATATTGATGTGCAAAATATAAAGTGTATTATATAATTTATTCTGGGTTGAGTGTTGCATTGATTAGGTATTTAAAATTATTGTACAGAAATTTAAATATCTACCTTTATGATTCTTATTCTTACCTTTATGAATCATATTTTGATACTTAATGAAATGTTTTTTCCTAATTTTTCCTTGATTTTGATTGCATGTATACTGTATAAACACGAAGTTAATGGAAATCTGAGAACTAAAGAACAGCAAAAAACTTAGCTATTTAAATATCTATCTAAATTTTTGTTAAATATACAACCTCATATGTGAGTTATACTTAATATCATCAATCAATAGAACATTTTATTACAACTTAAAATAGTATAATATAAGTAATTTTAAATAAAGTTTAGTTATACTAAACGGATATAGTACTCAATTTATCTAATAGATTAGTCTGTAATCTTAGTATAAGGTAAAACTCTTGTCCGTTTTCCTATAAGTTATTTTGTTTATGAATTAAAATTTTTAAAGCCACTGGACAAATTTTTTCAGAGACCCCAATATAAAATAAGAAAGTTTTTTGTACTACCTAATAAGTATTTAATTGAAAAAATTTGTCTAGCTTTGCTGAAGCAAATTTTTATACCATATCTAAATTGAGTGACTGCAAGATACTATTTTTTATGCTAATATCACGAATAGTTAAATTTTCTTGTGTATTGCTTGTTTTGAATTTGTTTTTAATCCATCGTGGTTTGAAAATGCTCTTTGATAGAACAGCTTGTACTTTATGTACCTAGTTGGTAGTTAAATAAATCTCTAAAGTAGTATGTAAAATGAGGGACATACGAAATGATAACTTTTCATCAAATAATTTTTAATTATCAAGAATATCTATACTCTGAAAATTAATTCTTGATCACTTGATGTAAAATACCCACTAAATTAAATTAATTCATTTGTTTTAAAACTATCTACATTTTTCTCACGAGTAGGAATATAATTTTTTATGCTTCTTCAAATACTTTCTTTGTCATTTACATTAATTCGAGTACATAGTTCTATTGTATATATATATATACAGTGAAACCTTCACTAACTGACACCTCCTAATAGCGGACACCTCCCAATAGTGGACGTTTTTTGGGGAACAGAGACATTTTCACTACCTTTCAATAGGAAAACCTTCGAATAACGGACATTATTTTATTAAGGAATTTTTAAAATAATGGTAAATCCCTAATCATTATTTGAAAATATGTATTCACATACGTATGCACTCTCGTAATAATGTAAAATTACGATAACAAACTCATTATGGGGTGATACGATTACGACAAATTCGGTTATCGGTGAAGCGGTTATGTGTTATAACAAAAGTATGTCAGTGACGGTTTTCGACGCGATGATTACGTTAAAACAAAAGCGGTTGTAGCTTCGCGAAAAAGTTAACATTTTAAATTACCGTAAAAATAACGGAAACGTAGGAATTCGTGCACTCACAGAATTGTAAAAATATACTTTAAATAATAATATGTAATTAATAATAATTTGTAAAAATATAAAAATGTAATAATTTACAATAAATAATAAGTAATAAGTGACTAATAACATTATATGTATGTACATACATAGTACATTATTATACAAATATATTTCAAAAATGTATCCTCTCTGAATAACGGACAAAATGTTGGTGACCAAGAGTTTTCGCTATTCAGAGGTTTCACTGTATATATAGGTATATTATACATAAAAGAATGATCAGAAATGTATGTATAGGCTTAAATACTTTTTTTCTAGTTCTAAACCAAATTTACAAATATTTATTTATTCAAAATTCTGAATTTTTCATTGCCCTTCAATGTAGTATTATTCATACCATCGATAACTTTTTTTCTTGTCGCACTGGATGTCTTAATGAACTAATTTAAATTTGAATGATCGTTTCTTGAAAATTTTTAATCAACAAAAAACAATAATTTTTTCCATAACATATTATAGTTTTAATACCGCCGTGGACCACGTTTCATCATTTAATAAAAATGTTGTCGAATACAACATTATATAAAGTTTTAGAAGGCTAGTATTGGGTTTCTCAGTAGTAATCGTCGGAAAAAACAACACGTTGCTCGGTTTGATTATCTAATAATAAAGTAAAAGTAAACTGTAGCGCTATCTAACGGCAAACATGTTAGAGCTATCGGAGGTTGTTGACGTGTGCAATGAACATCTGATATACTTTTTCAACGGTAGATGCTGCTACTGTCAACCTTTACTTGAGTGCAGGACAACCGAGTGCCACACATCCGTAATATTACGGTTTATTTAATATGGGGAGAGAGTGCAACTTCAGTAAAACGTTAAGATGCATTAAAATGTTTAATCTAAAATATACATATTTATATACTAATTAGATATAGTGGTCTTATATTAGGATGGTCAGATTCAATTTTAAGAAATCCGGAACACCAAAATAATTATAAATTATTACACATCATTTTTTCCTTCGCCTTTTCAGTAGGTATGATAAACCTGTGTTCTAAGAATTTATACAATTAGACATTATACGCTAATGGTTAATTAAGACGTAATCATAAAAAAATATTAAAATTAATCAATTAGATGAAATATCTTAATCTATTTAACAACTTTCAAATATACAAATCTATATTAATCTAGGTAGATTTTACGCACGTGAATTTTTTGTAATATTAACATTGATGAATCAATTCTAATGTACAAGGTATAGAACGAAAACTTTGATTGTGAATTTCTGTACGATACACAAAAATAGCTTTGCGGGCGGTTGACAAAAAATAATTTTCAGTAGGTTGGAACCGAACCAGAAATATTATTGGAAATCTTACCAGACTGAACTGACGATCATGTAGCCAACTTATGTTTTTGGGTTTTGACTGTTTTGAAATGATCATTTTAGTCCGATTGCCCACCATGGCAAGTGCCAAGTTATACACTGTACTTGGAAATCGTCAGTAGGTTTAAGTTTTTTAATAAACGCGAAATCACTTTGCCATTTCTGACTAAAATGACAGTCTTTATAGTGGCAGTCATTACGTAAAAAAATGAACTAAATAAATTCACGACACTATAAAGTATAAATACGCAAAAAACATAGGTAGATTTCACGCTCTCATACAATCAATATTGTCGGCATATAAATGCATACTGATTTTTCAGATTTCTGGGACTACTGTCATTACTCATTACTAACTGAAATAGAAATTATAAATACGATAAACTAATAAGCTATTCATTGTATTTAAAATACATATTATTATTTTTCGTAATCGCAATTCTTGAAATTCAAAAATCATAATATGGTTTTTCCCAACAATAAATGTAATCAGAAGTTAAAGGCAGTAGGTTGACTAAATGTAAAAAGCGTTCATTGTTCATTATAATATTAATTATTAAAATAGTTTAAATATTTTAATAATTTAATTTCTGTTTTTAATTTTTGAGTTAATACCGGTTTACCGTAGAACGGATTGAATAGTTGGGTATTTTCTATATAGGTACAGATATATAATACCTTAACTATAATTTGAATATTTTTTATATTTATTAGATTCAGTATAGTTTTTTTTATGCAGTGTTCTATCATTGATTCAAATTTAACACATACCTATATTCCATTGACGATTGATTTACTCAGTAACGAAGTACATATAAATACAACACCTATACCCTATAGGTACCATATCATAGCGGTTACATCATTTATAAATTATAACATTTATTATTTATAAACATTAATTTTGTATAACAGTAAAATTAATTGGCATAATTAATAAGTGAGTAGTGAGTATATTTTATAATTATACACAATAACCGGCATTAATGAAAAAAAAACATTTTAAAATGTGTCCATCTTTGGTACAGAAAATTATGGCCACATTCTAAATGGTAGATATTTCCTCTTCAATATTAATCATGAAGAATAAAGATATTCTTTATTCTTCGTGGTATTAATGTATGATAGCGAATTTCTCTGTTACTCTTTAAAAAAAATCTACTGATTCTAATGATATCTATTTATTCGTTTAAAACGCATTTAAATGTAGGTAGTAATTGCTATTGGCTAATAATGACTTTACCTACTATAAACACTCATAAATCATAATAAATATTTGTCAACACTTATCATGATCTAAATGTTTACTCCAACGATTCTAACAAATAATGGTTGACATATAATGTTGTAAACTCTTGTCTACACTCTGTATGCTATATGCAATATAGCAATAATCTTAGAATAGTACCTATGGTAAGTAAGAATATTGTGAATTGTGAATAGACACGGCCACACAGAAAGAATTCGCAGTGTGGACAGTTTTTAAACGATCTAACTCCTACCGTGTCCCGCTGTCTAATGTCTATGCAGTTAGATAGTATGACAGTAGAGTATAGGTCCGAGCATCATCGTAAAGAACTTCTGTTATTTAAGTCTGTAAAAAATTTCGTTTGATTTAATCATTTAATTAAGTATAGAATAAGTAATAAACATAAAAATACATACCTACTAATTTATTTACGAATAATCTGAGTTGTGAAGGCATTCATGAAAATGATAATAATTAATAATTCAATATTTTATAAATTAAAAAAAAAAAAAAAACAATTATATTATTAAAAAAAATTATGTAATAATCAAACATTTTAAAAGATCTTTATTGGTAATATGAATTATTTCGATAAATACAGCAATTTTGACTTTCAATAATTTAATTCTTGTCTGTTAGTTAAGTAGTATAGTTACATAAAAAAAAATATTTGCAAATAGCGAAGTGCAAAGTACAGTTATAATTTTATTTATTGATAAATAACATTAGTAAAATACATAATAAATAGTCAATCAAATTTTGACCATTTTGACTAGGTAATATCTAAAATGTACCTATTAAATAAAAATTAACAGATGATTTTTTTATATAAAATATGTATTTTTCCAATCAATATAGTTTTATTTTTTCATTTTTTTAAATAGATTTATTATTATTTTTTAACACCTAGGTATACTTACGTTGTTTAAACAGTTACATAAATACATATAAGTGTATAAAAGATACTTAGCAGACAGCTCACAACTGACTAATAATAATCTAATTGAAAATTGAAATATTATAAAAGTTACATCGAGGAAACATAAAATATAGACAGACACGTAACCCAGTATTATAATATAGCAATAAAATTTCCTATATTTTAAAAATTTATAGGTACCTTCTAATTATTACCTATCTATTAATCTAAATTGAATGAGTCAAAATAGTATAAATAATAATACAAATACAATTGATTCAACTATCAGCATTTTTTATTTATTCCAATACAATATATAATAATAATAAATTTCTTTAGAATATAAAAAGTACAAAACCTTATATTTAAAATAAAACAAAAATAGTTATTTTTATAACTAGATAAATAATTTAAATTTTATGTACACATTTCAACAATACAAACATTAAAAAAAAAAAGTAATTTACTATCTTCTCTTTATATACATAAATATCCCCTTGTTATGTATAATATAGAATCTCATTTCTGATCAGCCGTTATCTTTCAAGGAAAACGAATATCGAATTAAAATAATCATATTATTACATATCTAATATATTTATAAAAAATATGTATATTATATTTTTAATCCTAATTTTAAAAACAATATGTTTTTAAACTGTATATTATATTATAAATTATATTGCACTCAAAATACTTAACAATTATCACGTTAAATCAAAATATGCGTAAAGAGCCACTTATTATTCAATATTGTAGACTACCATATACTGTATAAAAATAACATTATAGCATTAAATGTCTAATAAAATATAATATAGCTTAGAAAATATTTATAATATAAATAATACATGCATATTATTTTTACGCACAGAGTAGAGCATTATTCGAATACATTTGTATTCAAAGAATCATCTAAATAAAATTGAATACATATTTTGAAATTATTCGAATAAGTTATTTGAATAGTTTTTAAATAAAATTAAGCAGGTATTCGATTAAAAACAATATTTTGTTTATATAATTTTTCGAATAATTTCTTATTTGAATACATGTTTATTTAGATAAAAATTTGCCCAACTCCGTTTACAGAACAAACTGCTACTTGTTAGACGTGTGCGAGCGCTTGTTCAACTATGTTCTAACTGTTAAATAATATTATACCTAATAATAAACATTAAACAATAAATAATAATAAAGACTATGACGAAGCTTTGAAACGTTGTCGTTACTCTATAGTGGCGTACACGAAGAGGTAAAGCCAGTAAAGGGGTGTATGTCAACACCGTTATTAAAATGGATGGTGGATGACTATGAAGTTGATGAATTGACCGATTGATTATTTCACTTTATATATATTCTATATAACACACATATCGACAAACCATTTCCCGATCATACGCATAAAATTGGTTTGGATTTACCAATTTCTTACTTTTTATACAGGTTTTAATATTACATTTCTAAATTATCTGTTTCCTAAATTATAATTTGAATTCATGACCCACACACTCGTCTTTTCTGTAAAATATAATGGTTAATAACGGTTAATACTATATTATGGCGGTATATTGATATGGAAAGGTCACGAACATTTTTTTATTCACAGTAAATCCTAGTAAAATAAAAATGCATGTTACAGGAAATAACGCTACAATCTATAGGTATACAATCACTTTTAGATTCGTATATTATGATTTATGCATACTGCACAGTACAAGTCTTAGTGAACTGAGCTACTTGTGATATTATTTTATCTTGTAAATTACACTTTTTATTTTGAACGTGGAACAAAGTTATATATATCATTTTTTTCAATAGCTGTATAATTAATACAAGTAGGTGGCGAATGGTAATAACGTCTTGAAAATTTCGACAATTCCCTCTCCCCCTTCAGATAAACGAGCGTACGCCACTTTAATCTACTCGGTCCGCGATTACCTTCATATTAGTAAGCTCGATTTGACAATAACAGACAATAAATAATCGAATATAAAATTTAAACTCAGCCCTATAATGTTTACCAATAAAATGTAATAAACTCGATATATTATTTAATCTAGGAATAATAAAAGTAACGTATCCATTATCTTACTGTGGACAATATTAATTATCAACAAAAATATCATTTAACATTTAGACAAGTCAATTCATTTTTTATTGGAATTCTGAAACGATATTTCAGTGATTTTTATATAATAATTATTGTTACAATACTCATAAAGTTATAAGTCATAATTTTCGTCGATTTAAAAATAAAATATATATGTTAAATGAAATAACTTTTGAGGAATAATGTGAATCGCCTCTTCGCAGTGTCCTCTGCAGGGCTCTGTGTATTGCTAAACGGACAAACGGATTTCAAAAATAGAATATCATACTATGACTTATAAGGGTACGACTACACCAAAAACAACACGTGAGAAGATCTGCGCTTTTGTTTTTCTATTCGAGCCGAGTTCACGTAATATATTAATAGCATTTATCTGAAAAACATCGGGTCAAGTTTACAGTATTCACTTGAGCCGACAACCGCCCATCACGGGTGGAGGGGGAGCGTATCGTCACGGATAGTAGCCCAACGAGTTTTCAATGCCCGACTTGAAGAACGACGACAGGACGTCATCGCCGACGCCATCGTGCACGGAGTGTCGCCTGGCGGCTGGCTTGTCTGTGCGGCAGGAGCTGTCGCGCGTGGCCGCCGTACTGGACACGGCAACCGGCCATGTGCACCGCTTCGGAGCTGTACGACCTGGCCGCGGCTGCAGACGACGCGGCGGCGCGTCGACGGCCGTCCGGCGCGGGCGCGCAGTCCGGGGCGGCGTGGTTTTGCCTGCCGCCGCAGCCGCGACTTCCGCGGTCCCGCCGCGGCGTTGGCCGCGAACAGCGCGTAATCGATGGCGAAAGTTGTCCGAACCGCTGGAACCGGATCGGCGGTGATGGTGTTTGGCGCCGCGCGACGGTTGCGGCCGGCGTTGGTGCACCGCGGACGACGACGAGTACACGGTGGCCGCGGACAGCGACGACGACGGCGACGATGACGAACCGGCGGTCGCGGGCAATTCGACGGCGGTGGTGCCCGGACAGGCCCGGCGGGTCATCTGCAGGTACTCGATGCTCTTGGACGGTTCGATGCCGCATTTGTCGCCGGCAGCGGCTGCGGCCGACGATTCGTCACCGGCCATGCTGTCGTCGTGTCGTCGCTGCAACAGCATGAGCAGCTCGTTCTTCTTCCACGCGGTGCCCGGCGAGTCGGCGCGCGACACGACTCGGACGCCGCGAACCCGCGGCTTGAGCTCGTCGAATATTGCGCGGGCGTCGCGGCTTGCCGCAGTAACACTTATCGCTGTCGCGCAGCTGTCCGAGTCGCAGCTGCACGACACCAGCGACGCCGTCGGTTCCGCCGCGCCGTCGCCGCAGATCTGCACCGTCGCGATCTGCCGCGTCGCCCGCCTACACTCCGGAACAGCTGAAGAACCCGGACGCCGATGCAGGCGACAACGCCTCGGACGCCGTACGTTCCTCGACCGCCGCCGCCGCCGCACGCGCTGACGTCTTCTGTGAGCTGCGGCGGCGGCGTCGAACATTACGAAACGGTACATCAGGCGGTCAACTGTTCGAACAACACGAGCGACGCATGCGAATCACATTGTCCGGCTACTGCGGCACGACGGCGTGGCTGGCGTCGCAATGCGGCTTGCGATCGAACCTTCGCGGTGTCGTATTACCCGCGGCAACCACCTGCTGCGTCGACAGCTCCGCCTGCGGCGTCGAGTCGTAACAATCACGCCACGGCGTGAGCTGTGCTATTACCTGTTTGTTACGACCTTCAGCGCTCGGCCGATGACAATCATCTTGCAGCCGCGCGTAATCATCGGCACGTCCATCATGCCAGTGGCCGAACCTTCCTGCTCGGGCCACTGGGTTCATCGTCGCCGTCGTATCCGCGGCGCACCACTCGTCGTCGTCTGTTCGACCTGGCACCTCGCGCGCCATACGCTACCACGATCGGCCAGCGATTCGGGCGATCCACGCACATTCGCGACAACGCCGCGGCGGACCGCGAAATCGCGCGGCGGCGGCTGTTCGCTCCGCCACCCCGTTCGCATGAACGACACCGTCGACGCACCCGCCGTCGATCTCCAGCAACCAGCGTACTCAAGCATTA